ACCTTTCAAGTGTCACGAAAAACAAATTGTGACAATGATGGTAGTAAGATTTAAGTGATATCTTTTCAACACTTAGGGTCAGCCAGTGTAAATATATGCATACCATCAAAACTGTCATCCTATACTAATAAACCTTACTAAGTTATTAGTTATTCTCAACAAGAGGCCTCGCGACCTTGACAATCACCTGGGATAAGCAATATCGAATAAACAAATTAATGGAGAATAGCTTTCAAGTGTCATGAAAATGAAGCAGTGACACTGATGATAGTAAGCCAAGGTCAATACATGCATACCATCAAAACTGTTATTCTATACTAATAAAGCTTTCAAAGTTATTTCCAATGAAAAAAAAAACAACATTTTTCACCTGAGAGAAATACAAGGCCCTGGGTCATGAAATCCACAATTTTGGTAAACTTTTTGCATACCCTTTTAATTTTTTTTGTCATTTTAACCACTTTTGGCCCTATCCTTCCGATAACACACCTGTTGGGGAACTCACAACAACACACCTGTAGGGGAACTCACAACAACACACCTGTAGGGGAACTCACAACAACACACCTGTAGGGCAATTAACAACAACACACCTGTGGGGGAACTCACAACAACACACCTGTAGGGGAACTCACAACAACACACCTGTAGGGGAACTCGCAACAACACATTTGAAGGGGAATTCACAACAACACACCTGTAGGGCAACTCACAACAACACACCTATAGGGCAACTCACAACACACCTGTAGGGAACTCACAACAATGCATCTGTAGGGGAACTCACAACAACACATTTGAAGGGGAATTCACAACAACACACCTGTAGGGCAACTCACAACAACACACCTATAGGGCAACTCACAACAACACACCTGTAGGGAACTCACAACAATGCATCTGTAGGGGAACTCACAACAACACATTTGAAGGGGAATTCACAACAACACACCTGTAGGGCAACTCACAACAACACACCTATAGGGCAACTCACAACAATGCATCTGTAGGGGAACTCACAACAACACACCTGTAGGGGAACTCACAACAACACACCTGTAGGGGAACTCACAACAATGCATCTGTAGGGGAACTCACAACAACACACCTATAGGGGAACTCACAACAACACACCTGTAGGGGAACTTACAACAACACACCTGTAGGGCAACTCACAACACATCTGTAGGGGAACTCACAACAACACACTTGTAGGGCAACTCACAACAACACACCTGTAGGGAAATTCACAACAACACACCTGTAGGAGAACTCACAACAACACACCTGTAGGGGAACTCACAACAACACATTTGAAGGGGAATTCATAACAACACACCTGTAGGGCAACTCAAAACAACACACCTGTAGGGCAATTCACAACAACACACCTGTAGGGCAATTTACAACAACACATCTGTAGGGCAACTCACAACACATCTGTAGGGCAACTCACAACAACACACCTGTAGGGCAACTCACAACAACACACCTGTAGGGCAATTCACAACAACACACCTGTAGGGGAACTCACAACAATGCATCTGTAGGGCAATTCACAACAACACATCTGTAGGGGAACTCACAACAACACATTTGAAGGGGAATTCACAACAACACACCTGTAGGACAACTCACAACAACACACTTGTAGGGCAACTCACAACAACACACCTGCAGGGGAACTCACAACAATGCATCTGTAGGGCAATTCACAACAACACATCTGTAGGGGAACTCACAACAACACACCTGTAGGGGAATTCACAACAACACATCTGGAAGGGAACTCACAACAACACATCTGTAGGGGAACTCACAACACCACACCTGTAGGGCACCTCACAACAACACATCTGTAGTGGAACTCACAAAAACACTCCTGTAGGGGAACTCACAACAATGCATCTGTAGGGGAACTCACAACAACACATTTGAAGGGGAATTCACAACAACACATCTGTAAGGGAACTCACAACTGTAGGAGAACTCACAACAACACACCTGTAGGGGAACTCACAACAACACACCTGTAGGGGAACTCACAACAATGCATCTGTAGGGGAACTCACAACAACACACCTATAGGGGAACTCACAACAACACACCTGTAGGGGAACTTACAACAACACACCTGTAGGGCAACTCACAACACATCTGTAGGGGAACTCACAACAACACACTTGTAGGGCAACTCACAACAACACACCTGTAGGGAAATTCACAACAACACACCTGTAGGAGAACTCACAACAACACACCTGTAGGGGAACTCACAACAACACATTTGAAGGGGAATTCATAACAACACACCTGTAGGGCAACTCAAAACAACACACCTGTAGGGCAATTCACAACAACACACCTGTAGGGCAATTTACAACAACACATCTGTAGGGCAACTCACAACACATCTGTAGGGCAACTCACAACAACACACCTGTAGGGCAACTCACAACAACACACCTGTAGGGCAATTCACAACAACACACCTGTAGGGGAACTCACAACAATGCATCTGTAGGGGAACTCACAACAACACATTTGAAGGGGAATTCACAACAACACACCTGTAGGGCAACTCACAACAACACACTTGTAGGGCAACTCACAACAACACACCTGCAGGGGAACTCACAACAATGCATCTGTAGGGCAATTCACAACAACACATCTGTAGGGGAACTCACAACAACACACCTGTAGGGGAATTCACAACAACACATCTGGAAGGGAACTCACAACAAGACATCTGTAGGGGAACTCACAACACCACACCTGTAGGGCACCTCACAACAACACATCTGTAGTGGAACTCACAAAAACACTCCTGTAGGGGAACTCACAACAATGCATCTGTAGGGCAACTCACAACAACACACCTGTAGGGCAATTCACAACAACACACCTGTAGGGGAACTCACAACAATGCATCTGTAGGGGAACTCAAAACAACACATTTGAAGGGGAATTCACAACAACACACCTGTAGGGCAACTCACAACAACACACTTGTAGGGCAACTCACAACAACACACCTGCAGGGGAACTCACAACAACACACCTGCAGGGGAACTCACAACAATGCATCTGTAGGGCAATTCACAACAACACATCTGTAGGGGAAATCACAACAACACACCTGTAGGGGAATTCACAACAACACATCTGGAAGGGAACTCACAACAAGACATCTGTAGGGGAACTCACAACAACACACCTGTAGGGCACCTCACAACAACACATCTGTAGTGGAATTCACAAAAACACTCCTGTAGGGGAACTCACAACAATGCATCTGTAGGGGAATTCACAACAACACACCTGTAGGGGAACTCACAACAACACATCTGTCGGGGAACTCACAACACACACTTATTAATTGAATGCATAAACCTATTTGACATTACAAGTGTCATACTTTATTTGGATATTTGAGGTACAATATGTACAAGATAGATATATTTATACTGCACCATAGAGGGAAGTACACATATACTAGAGAGGGAATCCGACCACAACCTACTGCATAACGCTGGTTACTTTACCATATTAACACAGCTCATTACTTATTAATTAATCTTCCCATAATTAGAAGCAGTAGGAATATAATGGACTTCAATGAACTAAAATCTTCAGAAATTAGCTGTGAGAAGTTATATTCAATTTTCAATTAACAGTTAACAAAGAAAATTGGATGTTGACTGTAAAAGTACACCATTGTAATTTGTAAAGTACATGTACATGTTAGCAGTACTACTGATGTAGTCTGGTATTTCCAAGCTTGGGTACAGAACATACACTGTGCAAGTTCAAAAAAATTTTAAAAGGTGCTACAGTAATTGATTTTGGTTTGATTTTGAAAATTATTCAATTTTGCAGAACCAGAAAATTAGAAAAAGACCAATTAAAATGCCCCTGATACAATATGAATCAATCCCTACAGACTTGAAACACAGACGTTAAACACTGGAAGTGCACTATAAAGTGTATGCATATGGCTGCCAGATTTTTTTGCATGTTCCACCAACTAAACAGGAATTTGTCTTACAATTATTTGTTGCTATATTTTGAAACATACTTCTGTAACAAAGCAATTTTATTGTTGTACCAGTATTGTGTTCTTACTAAAGCATCAGGATTTACAACCTCTGACGAAGATCTGAAGCTGGGTTGCAATAACTTAGGCGGTTAGAATGTTATGTAACCTAAGGTGAAGATCTGAAGTTAGGTCACCATAGCTCAGACAGTTAGAGTGTTGACCCAAGTTACCTCAGGTGAAGATCTGAAGTTAGGTCACCATAGCTCGGACAGTTAGAGTGTTGACCCAAGTTACCTCAGGTGAAGATCTGAAGTTAGGTCACCATAGCTTGGACAGTTAGAGTGTTGACCCAAGTTACCTCAGGTGAAGATCTGAAGTTAGGTCACCATAGCTCGGACAGTTAGAGTGTTGACCCAAGTTACCTCAGGTGAAGATCTGAAGTTAGGTCACCATAGCTCGGACAGTTAGAGTGTTGACCCAAGTTACCTCAGGTGAAGATCTGATGTTAGGTCACCATAGCTCAGATGATTAGTGTTGACCTATACAGCAGTTACGTGACCTCAGGTGAAGGTCTGAAGTTAGGTCACCATAGCTCAGAGGAATAGTGTTGACCTATACAGCAGTTACGTGACCTCAGGTGAAGATCTTAAGTTAGGTCACCATAGCTCGGACAGTTAGAGTGTTGACCCAAGTTACCTCAGGTGAAGATCTGAAGTTAGGTCACCATAGCTCAGACAGTTAGAGTGTTGGCCCAAGTTACCTCAGGTGAAGATCTGAAGTTAGGTCACCATAGTTCGGACAGTTAGAGTGTTGACCTATACAGCAGTTACGTAACCTTGGGTGAAGATCTGAAGTTAGGTCACGATAGGTCGGACAGTGAGTTGACCCAAGTTACCTTAGGTGAAGATCTGAAGTTAGGCCTAGTTAGATCAGTTGATTAAGTATTGGCCTATGTAACCCGAGACAAAGATCTGAAGTTGACATCTTTCCCCAGTTGTCCTGGCCTCCTGTATAATGGTCAGACATTTTTTGGACAGGGGGTAGGTGAAGAGGGATGGTAGTTCCAAATCTGAGGTAAGTGTAAGGCATGGAGAAGGTTGGTTCAGGAGAGGGCACCAACTCCTCCTCATAGGAAGAGCACATGTTTGTATCCATTGATCAAATGATAATACGCAATGCCAAGGAACAAGCACTTTCTAATAAATATGTATATGGGTATATACACATTTCGATGGCACTCAGTTTGTGATATTTTCATTGAATGGGGTTTTAGCTTCCAGCTTTTGTGATTATTCTAACTTACAACACATATCATCTACTGACAAATTCATACTGCCTTGTTAAGTAAATTTCTTTCTGAAAAAAAAAAACACCAACAGATTACAAGTTTGTGGATTGATTTACTCTAGTTTGTTACAAGTGTGTTGTCTTGAAATTTTACGAGCTTATATTGTATTGACAGCAAGTTCTTTAACATTTCATGCCTTAAATCTTGTGTTTCTGGTTGTTTACAATGTATTTTACAGTAATGAATATAAAACCTTAAAGATGTCGGAAGGAAGTTATATTCAACGTCAGTCAAATGCTTTTAATACACACACCACATATAAACAATTAGACAACTTGGTCAACCATGTGTACCATAAAACCTGTGTAATGTGGGCACCTACATAAACAGCACCGGTACTTTCCTGGGTTGAAAATGCAGCAAACATGCTTCAACTTTCCGAATTTGTGCAACCCTTAAGTTCAGTCTAACACGATCTCCTGGAGTCAAGAATATCAATCTCAGAATGTTCAGTTCACACATCAGACCATTCATATAGAAGTTCAAAACTTCAAAACATTCTCTTCAAAAATTATTTCCATCTCATTTAATTGACTTAAAATTATGTGAACTTTTGGTTAATTATAGGTTCAATACAAATTTAACAATCTGCCTAATATTTGTGTATGTCTTGTTTTCTTTGACATCAGAGACATTATGCTGTATCACACACTTACAGATCAAATTAACCTAAACTTATATATGTTTGGTACCCAACAATTGTCTTCACCCTTGGCCTAATCAACTGCGCTCAGTACTGAAATCACAGGTACAAGTAGTTATCTACCTATTAATGACCAAAACAAGTCATAATGATCTCCACCAGTCATGTTTTCTTTCATGTTGCCTGTTGTCAAAATAGTGCACACGCCAGCTGACAAAAAATGAGGCCCCAACACTGTATATGCTAACAATCGTTAAACAGAGTGAGGAATGTACCCAGTATAACATGTCCACATTACATAGGTATACATACCATCAGCAATATTATAAGTTTATATAAAACACCACAGCATCCACTGTTTACACGGTATGATTTTACACAACACTGGCAGGTTATAATAGACTGCAATCACTACTGTCTATAATGTCTAATAGGCCTTTCAACAAAACATCATCTCCAGGTCCACTCTATACCAAAGATTGATGAACTTTTTGACCGTTTTGATTGGACTCAGTGACACTGTCCTCATAAAACTGGGTTTAAGACATGCTTTACTTAATATAACATAGTATATAGTCATAGGTGTATGTATGTTCTTACGTATGCCTGGGTAAATCATCAATTTGGCAAAGATTTCTTTCAATATTTTTTCTGGAATCTGCAGTAACTATTATGAATTCCCCAACATAATACAAACACATAGCTACCAGCATGTTATATAGGTATCTGTGTCAATATATAATAATGCACTCCAAGCCATTTCCCAAATATAACAGGTTTTTCACATCAATGAAAATTGGCCTTAAACACAAACAATGGGCCAGAAAATAAGTAATTCAAGGCTTCTGCAACAGGTCTATACAGGAAGCAACTTACAGATGTCCCTGTAGAGAGTAGGAAAAACATGTCCCTGTAGGGAGTAGGTAAATCATGTCCCTGTAGGGAGCAGGTAAAACATGTCCCAGTAGGGAGTAGGTAAAACATGTCCCAGTAGGGAGTAGGTAAAACATGTCCCAGTAGGGAGTACGTAAAATATGTTCCTGTAGGGAGTAGGTAAAATATGTTCCTGTAGGGAGTAGGTAAAACATGTCCCTGTAGGGAGTAGGTAAAACATGTCCCTGTAGAAACATGTTCCTGTAGGGAGCAGGTAAAACATGGTAGGGAGTAGGTAAAATATGTTCCTGTAGGGAGTAGGTAAAACATGTCCCTGTAGGGAGTAGGTAAAACATGTCCCTGTAGAGAGTAGGTAAAACATGACCCTGTAGAGAATAAGTAAAACATGTCCCTGTAGAGAGTAAGTAAAACATGTCCCAGTAGGGAGTAGGTAAAACATGTCCCAGTAGGGAGAAGGTAAAACATGTCCCTGTAGAGAATAGGTAAAACATGTCCTTGTAGGGAGTAGGTAAAACATGTTCGTGTTGAGAGTATGTAAAACATGTCCAAGTAGGGAGTAGGTAAAACATGTCCCCGTAGTGAGTAGGTAAAACATGTCCCTGTAGGGAGTAGGTAAAACATGTCCCTGTAGAGAGTAGGTAAAACATGCCACAGTAGGGAGTAGGTAAAACATGTTCCTGTTGAGAGTATGTAAAACATGTCCCTGTAGGGAGAAGGTGAAACATTTCCCAGTAGGGAGTAGGTAAAACATGTCCCTGTAGAGAGTAGGTAAAACATGTCCCTGTAGGGAGTAGGTAAAACATGTCCCTGTAGAGAGTAGGTAAAACATGTCCCTGTAGGGAGTAGGTAAAACATGTTCCTGTAGGGAGCAGGTAAAACATGTCACTGTAGGGAGTAGGTAAAACATGTCCCTGTAGGGAGTAGGTAAAACATGTCCCTGTAGGGAGTAGGTAAAACATGTCCCTGTAGGGAGTAGGTAAAACATGTCCCTGTAGGGAGTAGGTAAAACATGTCCCTGTAGGGAGTAGGTAAAACATGTCCCTGTAGGGAGTAGGTAAAACATGTTCCTGTAGGGAGTAGGTAAAACATGTCCCTGTAGGGAGTAGGTAAAACATGTCCCTGTAGAGAGTAGGTAAAACATGTCCATGTAGGGAGTAGGTAAAACATGTTCCTGTAGGGAGTAGGTAAAACATGTCCTGTAGGGAGTAGGTAAAACTGTAGGGAGCAGGTAAAACATGTCACTGTAGGGAGTAGGTAAAACATGTCAATGTAGAGAGTAGGTAAAACATGTTCCTGTAGGGAGTAGGTAAAACATGTTCCTGTAGGGAGTAGGTAAAACATGTCCCTGTAGGGAGTAGGTAAAACATGGTAAACATGTCCAAGTAGGTAAAACATGTCCAAGTAGGGAGTAGGTAAAATATGTTCCTGTAGGGAGTAGGTAAAACATGTTCCTGTAGGGAGTAGGTAAAACATGTTCCTGTAGGGAGTAGGTAAAATATGTTCCTGTAGGGAGTAGGTAAAACATGTCCAAGTAGGGAGTAGGTAAAACATGTCCCTGTAGGGAGTAGGTAAAACATGTTCCTGTAGGGAGTAGGTAAAACATGTTCCTGTAGGGAGTAGGTAAAACATGTCCTTGTAGAGAGATATTAAATCAATAAATCGAATATCTACATTAACCCATGACATCATTTTTTGTATGTTACATAGAAAGCTTGTTATATGTACCTGCATTCCAAAGAAATCTTTTCTTAATCCGCCAAATAGCCATTGCCAAGTTTTTCATCTAGCTTCAGACAGCTTATTATTGTAGTTCCTAAACTTTACATTACAGATGTCAACAATCAAGATTGCTGATATCATTAAAAAAAAAAAAAACCTGTTCAAGGCTTTTATCAGAATTGAAACAGGTTTGATCATTAACTGGTAATACAATTGTATTCAATCATATTTTCAATATTGTGAAAGAAAAAATCAATACTGAAATGTGTTGATGATCAACATACATATTGTGTGCATTTACTAATACAAATTAGGCCCAATACTTCTATATGTAATATGTGTACAGTTGTAGTTTATGTCAGATAAAATGTAACATAATTCCATGTTGACATCTGTTCTTTTTTTTCGTAGGATATTTCATGCGAGACTAAATCACCAATTCCCAAATTTTGATATATCCCACCTCTCAGCCAGTAGATATATATATATATAGTTCTTAAAATTTAACGAGGCCAACAGGGAAAATCCATGACTAAAATATCTGGGTACTAAAAATCACTGAATGAAAAAATCTAGACCTTTAAATTTTGTGAATAAATTCCTCTGCGATTAGTTTAACCCAGTTTAACCCGGCATCCTCTTGCATGACCTCGTGAGGTCAACTCTTTGGATGCATTCCGTTACGTTGTCTTAAATACTTCATTCACTACTGTTTTATACGTCACTTTTATCCAACAGGTGCAGATGGTTGATTAACTTATGAAAAACCTTCACATCCCCACTGTTCATTGTTTACGAATCAACTTACCATTCTCGGGAGTCCTTTGCAGGTCAGACAGAAGACCCAAACCGCTACATAATCCAAACACAACAAGCAAAATATACAGCATACTGAGAAAAATCGGATCCCGTCACATCGGGATTTCTTAAAGTCATCGGCAATGAAGTTCAGCACTAGACCCGAGTCTCCTCCCACTCACTGCGAGCCCGTATCAACGTGACCCAGATATGATCTCCTACAAAGGAAAAAAATGGCGACCTCGAGTAAACCGTGTACAATGTTATCACGCAGAACTCCATCACACGACATCCTAACCTCATTGTTGTTTTACACGTGTACCTGCAGAATCCAACTCATATTGACCCTCTTGCTACTCCGTTAGTAAGAAGTGACACTGAGAATCGCCAGAGATCGCAAGCTTTATGCTTGTACACATGTGATCATTAGCGATCTCAATTTTGGTCAATCTAAGGTCGTGGGCATTCTTCCAAAAAAGTACTAATCATAACTCTCTGACATTGACAGTTGATTTAGGATGTGCAGGTATTGATAACATTAAGCATAGGAATGGAAGTGATAGATTTAATCCTCTACTAGATTAATGAGTAACGCTTATTGGCAGAACAACCGCCGATCGAATACAAATATCGAGGCAGAATGTCAATAAACTCTCCCTACTCACCTCCTCCGGAATTGATCCACTCAAGGAAAATACTCAAAATATACCCACAACGCTTCGAATAAACAATCCTTGTAGC